AAAACTAAGTGCGTTCTGTTTTCTTAATCAAAATGAAAACTTGAATTTATTTTCAAATGAAAATAATTTCTTCATTGCACGCCTAACTACAAATCAATTTTGCCTAAGACATATATATATTTATTTATTTAATCAATATCTATCACAACGCAATTAACATAGTATTAAAGCCAAATTTGAATCATTTCGCAAGAACATTGTAATCGATACGATCGATTAATTAACCAATGATGTAATTCTCGTCGAATTCGATATGGAAAACAAGGTGTATGATTTGAAGTCCATTGACAAAAATATATTTTAAGCGAAAACAATTCTTGCAAATGATCAATAAATAAATGAATAAGATTAAGAATACGTTTTGTAGATTCATTTTCACCATCAATAATAGAATATGGATTCCAATCGACATGGTCATATGAATCATTGATTGTCAACCAAAATTTTTTCAAATTAGTTAATTGATCTACTAATAATTTGCAAATATCTTCAGCATTAAATAATGTCAATGTACAATTATTTAAACCAAATGATCGGATCTAATGACAAAAAAAATAAATAAATATTTTTTGATATCTACAAATCAAATAGAAAACTCTTCCCAAACTGTATAGTTAGATTTTTAATCAGATACTCTTTCAATTTTCTACACTGACTTTAGTTTTATTTACTATAAGTACACAAGAAACCTGATATTATTTGTGTGTGCCAGTCATTCTCAGTCTGAGTTTCAACCACGGAACAATCAGTTGCTTTTTTTTTAATCTAGATGAAGACTATTTTAATAGAAATTCGATAAGTTATGTTTTTCAAAAAAAAAAAATGTACACTCAAGATGTTTTATTTTTGCAAAAAATTGCTTCCTACAACTGGCTTCGAGAAATTTTTTTCAGTTTATTCATCCCTTTCGGATACGACTAGTCGCTCTCATCTTTAAGTTTATTAAATTTCCCTGAAGAATTTGGGTAACATTTATTGAAATCCAATAAAAGAGTTGTGGTCCAATTCTTTTTTTTTTATTTTGAATGTCTCTCTTGAAGTATTACAAAATATTTGACGTTCATTTTTTATCATTGAGTTTATATTAAATTATTACAGAGAATGTGGAAATAGTCCGATTTCTTGTCTCACACGATTTCATAAGAAATAGATTTCTTACTGTTGTTCGTTATTTTATTGCTTTGCAAATTGCCTTAGACAGATCGAATAGCATAACTTGACACTGATGAGAGAACATATCCAACTGTCGAACGCTGTTCGAGTCCATATTTTGGTTGAGTAGGGTTCAGTAAAATCCTAAAAGAGTTCAGGCCCATGACGTACCTGAACGGAGATCTGGTTGACACATAGGTGTAAGAAAATGGAATTTTTTACTTTTTTCTTAATTACATCTAATCAGTTTTAACTCTCATGGATTTCAAGGAAATGAAAGAAGTTACAAAATATAATTAGAATTCTTAATAGATTTTCTTTAAATAGAAGATCATTAGAAAATGAAGGCATGAATTCTGAACGAATAAATTTCATTAATACTTTTTTTTTTTGTTGAAAAAAGAAATATTTACTTTTCTATTAACCATAGTACCGAGATCATTTTTGTTATATAGAATAGCAGGAGACAAAATTCCATCTTCATCAACTATTTCTAATGTATGTACATTATCAGCTAATTGTAATATTGCTTCTAATTCAGTTACCCCAACAAAATCAGCATTAATTGAGATTTTTGTTATCAATAACCATGGAACAAATAATGACAAAGAATTTCTACAATTGTCGAGATCTAAAAGACAAGTTTTGTTTTCAGAATTGTTAAGAGCTAATTTATTTATATGCGGATATAAATTTATTACATTGTCCAACATTTGAGAAGATCTGTATAGAGAAAGAATAAAATTTATCTACTCGTTCTTTTATCAAAGTTATATATCATATATACATACATTTGAAGATCTTCAGGAGTAAACAATGTTGTAAGCTCAGTACCATTATACGGTAAAGTGTAAACATTAAATTTGTAAGTATTATAATAAATATCTTCATCAGGATTTTTGAAAATAATAACTTTTGGTCGTTTTTGACGAGTAAATGGTGCTTGAACAAATGATTTTAAAAGAATTTTCTCCTTCAATTCTTCATTAGCGAAGAAGTAAAGATCAAGTGTATAGGATGACATTGGTTTGAGACGATCGATACATAATTGTTGAATAGTATCACCTGATATAATAAATGGATCAGATAGTGACATAGATGTTTTTAGTTTTAGTGATAAATGCGTAAGTTGACCAAATATAGATGATAAAAGTGCAATAGATTGATGAAAACTTATATTATTCGCACAGTTCAAATTAAGGCGAGATAAACGACGAAGAAGATTAGCATCAATAGAGGAAGGTAATCTTAATAAAAATGTTTCATTTGACTCAAAAACTGTCAAAGATCATATAGAATATAACTTACGTGATTATATCAAACTTTTTATTCTTATTAATCTTTTGATCATGTATACCAATAGAAAGAGTTTCAATAAATGGTATACAAAATAATAATCTTTGAAGAAATCGTGATGAATTCATACCAATAGTCAATATTCGAAGATTATTTGTATTCGATAAATTTGGTAAAATCATCAATGGTGGTAATAATTGTTTATGAGTTCTAGGATAATAATTAAATGGAAGTCGACAGATTCTTAAAGTGTTCACACATGAACACACCTTTAGAAGTAAAAAAAAACAAAAATTATAAACTATTATACATATAAATATGTATAAAATTCTTGTCACAAAATACTCAAACTCGATAATGAACTCAACTCTCATTTTAGCTTACTCACCTTAGTCAAATATGCTCCTTCTATACCTTCATCATGAAACGAACTACCATCCGTCACATCGACTATTAAAGTATATAATTGTTTTATTAAACGATTACATAATAATTTATCAAATTCATACGGTTCAATATCAACTAAATGTAGATGTCGAAGTAATGTTATTTGATGAGATTGTAGAGATGATGAAATAAGTGACCATCCACCAATGACATTGTTTAATGTTATGCGTAATGAGATAAGACGACGTCCTATCAATTTTAATATATTTTGACAAAAATTATTGAACATTGATAATGACATTGAATCGCCGTCAATACTTATGTGCCATAAATATTGATTCCGAAGGATTTTCGAAAAACGTTTATTCAATGATAAAAATGATTGAAGAATCTCGACAGGAGATAAATATGCAAAAATTTCAAAAAGAACATCGACAGGCAACAATTCAAACGTGCTAGCGATCATTTTTTTTCCATCTCTCTCGTTCATTCATCATGAGTTATATATATATATATATTGATATAAACAATGACACATGTCCCTCTGCTTTTCGGTTGACCGATATTTGTTTTTAAAGAACTTATGTTGGTCAATGTCGGCGAAAGAAAAAAGAACATATTCATGTCGACGTTATTCAATACATGTTTGAACGAGTATACAACGTCATTCATTTGTTTTTTCTATTCATTAGTGTTGAAATGTTATTATACAAATATAACAATTCAATACTTTTGTTCAAGAATTTTTAAACAAAAAATAAAATAAATAATATCTTTTCAAATTTGATTGCTTACTCTTGATAAGAATGGAGACAAGTTATAAAATAAATAGTTTTCGATATAATAAAAATGTTCGTTTGTATTCATGTTACACAGTTATGTTTAACATCATAAAAAGACAGAAATTAATTGTTAAAATTTGAAATGGTTCTGAAAACTAATGTTTAACGTTTATATTCTTGAATGAATTGGTTTATTTTATTATTTCCTGTTCAATTTATCTATTTATAGATTACTGAGTCAGTGATAACCTAGAAACTTGAAAAATCAAAAAAATTTTACGACTTTTACGTTAAAAACACGAAAAAGATCACATTTTGCATGACAAAACGGACATTAAAATTAATAGATTTTAATAGGCGTGTTCACTGAGAAAGTTAGTCTAGACTATCTTGAGAATGGCTGAATGTATCGAGTTGTCCGCTGGTGTATAAGGGTTTCTCGATGTGTTTCTTCTTTTTGTCTCTAGAAAGTTTTCCCAAAACTCTCGGAAGATGGGTTTCTAGAAAAAACGTTGTGTTTTTAGCTATAGCTGACGAAAAAGATGATCGTTAGAAAAAAATTTTGAATATCATATTCGGATTCAGCATTGAAAGACGAACATTTAAAAAAATTCAAACCTCTACCGCAAAATTTAAATTTATCAATTGAATTGCAAATTTTTAAAAGTTCACCTTTTTTTAAGTTTAAAATAGTTCAATGCAGGTAGATGGTAGAAAGCTGGTTCAAGCATCAATCGATAGAGAATTCAAAACTGAACAAACGTTGGTGTTTGACAATTTTCACATATCACATGATTATGGTTTTTTTGAGAGTTTTAGGAGAGAATCCACCAGAAAACCATCCTATTCTTCCTATATGCTGCAGGAAGAAAACCATTTTTTTTTTATGTGATCATTTCAAATAAAAGGTATAGTCAAACCATATTAAAATCCAAAATATTAGGTCATTTGGCTTTGTCTGTCAAAAACGCCAGCTAAAACAAGTTCAAAGGGTCTATATTGATCTCTATTTAGCCAGTTCTTAGTTGAAAAAATATAATCTAACTCAAAGTCAATATCAAATTCGGAATCAGCGTCAAGAACTGAATTGATTCATAAATGTTTCACGTATTTCTGAGGAAAATATTTGCTCATCGAAAAAAATAACACCTACACTCTCGTAGGACTCATCAAAAAATAATTTATCTGAAAGTGGTGTTTCGGTCGTTGGGTCTTTTGCAGTTTTGCATTTATTGACATTAGGAAAGCTCGCTACTTCATTCGACAGAATAATTGGCGTTTTTGAGAGAAATTATTTTTTGATGAATCCTGAAAGGAATACTCTCTGAAAAAAATGTGTCATCAGGAATCACTTATGGTTTTAGCAAAGATACTGAAATTTTTAAGGTTTCGTCCGTCCATTAATAAATCCTGAAGGAGTGCTAGATAATTTAAAGAATCGAAGCAGATAAAAAATGTTTTCAGGCATTTATAAGAGTTCTATCTCATACCCTTTTTGTTTATGCTGAACTTCCTTTTTCAAAGACGGTTCTAGCCCAGGTTGCTTTAACTAATTTTGGGTATTTTTAGATGCAGCTTAATTAACAAAAAGCTGGAATGGTTTTACTTATTTAATAAGAATAAAAAGTAGGCGATAGGCGCCAGTAGGATGAAACTCTAATTTTAAAAAATGAAAGTTAAAGTAATTACGTCATTGAATAATAGAAAATTTATCTATGGATGAATAAATGAAATCGGCATTAAAATATTTTCAGGTATCATCGGATGCTTTCTCATTTTTAAAAGATTATGTTAATACTAATTCATTATCAGATTTATCAGTTGATTTTGAACCAGCTCTATTAGCATGTATATGATGGTTAATTTTAGTTCAAGCAGCAGAGCTTGTTTATTTGAAATCAGCCAGTTTTAAGAGGAAAGAAAAAAGATGAAAATAAGAAGAAAAAAAAAACAGTTATTTTAATTATTTAGATGAAGTAGCAGCCAAAGTTGCAGTACATGCGGCTGATTGTTATAAAGAAACGTATACATTAGCAAAAACTGAAAGTTAGAAAAAAGCGATTTCAGAAGTTGGTCGATTTGCTGTTGCTTTTTCTGAATTTCGAGATAATCGAACCTTAAATCTACTCCGCACATTTTTTTACAAGAGTTCTGATTCGCCTAGGAATTATTATATAAACTTTTGTTCCCATGTAACGATGGAAATAAAGTGTTTTTCTTTCTGATACCAAATACATCACATTTTAATATAGTTTTTCTACCATCTGTTCCTGCTATTTAAGAATTATGCCAATAATATTTGTGAAACGCTTATTATTTCAATCAAAAACAGAATATCATGCTGGTAATCAGGCTCAAATTGATCGAAAATACAGAATTAAAGTAGCCCGATATGATGTAACTTAAATAAATATGAAAATAATAAATTAAATATTTATGCTAAATTAGCATGCAAAAGATTTAACTGATCAAGCAGTTAGTAAATACACAGTAGCTGTTTTTACACCAACACTTCGTACAAATCAAGAGAAAATAACTAAAGCAGCAACAACTGCACATAAAGATAATGATTTCGTTTATCATGAACAAATACCAGATCCGAAAACGCTTGAAACTATTTTGGCTCAACCAATTACTAAACCATTACCACCCAGGAGATTCAATCCGACCTACACATCTTACCGGAAACCATCGGATCCGATATCGGATTGCTCCGGAATCCGGAAAAGATATCGCCGGCAATAGTCGGAATGTGACCGATTTGGTGCTGATTTCCCCGTATTTCACCGAAATTTCATTAAGATTCCACTACATCTTCCTAAGATCTTTTCAAGACTTTTCTAGATTCTACTAAGATGTCTTCAGATTTTCGCAGCATTTCTCTGAATTTGAAAAGGATTTCATCGAGATTTCTCTGAATTTCAAAAGGATTCCATCGAGGTTTCTCTGGATTTGAAAAGGATTTCATCGACATTTCTCTGTATTTCAAAAAGATTCCAACAAGATTTCTTTGGATTTGAAAAGGATTTCATCGAGATTTCTCTGGATTTCAAAAGGATTTCGTCCAGATTTCCCTCGATTTCAAAAGGATTAATTCCAGATTTGACAGGATTCCATTGAAGTAGCCTGATGATTTCCAAGAATTTCACTAGTATTCTAAAAGTTTCACGAGATTTTATATCAGTGTCTCTGAAATTCAAACCGTTTTCTGCGTAATTCTGAAGTTTCACTTAAGTTTCCAGGAAGATCTTAGTGCGATCTTTCAGAATTTCTACAAGAATGTCCATTATTGCGGGAGAGGATTGTTATAGTATTTCGAATAGAAAACTTACTAGATTTGCGCTATCAATCCTGTAGGATTGATCCTATTTATTGGCAATGAGTCGATTAGGATCTTTCCTAGATATGCGATATGAATCAACTAGGATCTTTCCTAGATTTGCACTCTGAACCATGTAGGATCCTTTCTTGTATATAAGACTTACGTCAAGAAAACTTTCTCGAATATAGTTGAAACCTTAGCATAAACAGTTGTTCATATAGCTCGATATCAGCAAAACAAAACGGTGAATGAGTAGTTGACAGAAATCGAAATCAGAGATTTTCATCTGATTTTTAGATTTTTTAATGTTTTTTCGTGATTTTACCAATAGAAGCTATTTCTCTAATTAATGAATTAATTAATTAGGGAAATATTTAATAAATCCTATTTTGATTAAAGTTGAGATGAAATATGAGATATAATTTTTAGTTGAAAATGACGAATTTTAAATAAATAATCATCTTGTTTTATCAATTGATATCATAGATAAATTATGTTAATTTTTGGTAAATGAATATCATAATATTTAATTAATAATTTAATTTTTGTTTTATTTAAAGATATAATTTGGAATTGTTCGATTGTTTTATTAGGTTGGCAACAAAGTTTTTGCGTTTTTTTCAAGAATTCTCATTTTATTTTTTAACTTCAAGAATACAATTACCCAAGCAAACAAAAAAAGAATAAAAACACACATTTAAACGCTATGTTATTTCCACGGATTTTCAGATGCTAATCAAGGTTCCCGATTGTCATCCAGAAACAGTCAAAAAAAAATGCAGCGTTAAAACGATCACTTTTTGCAGGATGTATAATTTTTGGCAGTTTATGAGTTAGAAATTATTCGTCATTTCGGCACCCACTGGTTAAACGTTTCTGATTCCCAATCGAGACCCACGATTAGCATCCGAAAACGTTTACACTTTTTATATGTTTACATGCGCCTTTATTTTTGCTTTTTTTCGTGCGTTTTCAGGTATGTTTCTCAAATGAAACCTTTTTCCATCGCTCTGATTATTATATAGGTTGATGATTCCAAAAAAAAAGTTACTTAAACAACTCATTTTATTTCAGAAGTAAAAATATTTTCAACAGGGGTGACCAGATTCCGATTCTAACTTTAGTGAAATTATTTGTGAACACTCCAAATACATGAAGCACTATCATCATCCTGACACCATTACAAAATGCATTCATAACATTCATCAATAATTCCAATACAGTCTGAAGTCACTCATACTCTATCATATACGTATATAGCCTGGTTAGGATGCTGATTATAGTGAAACCACACAGCATTCAACGGCTGAACACAGTACATGACTCATCTTCAGTGGTCAGCGTTAAAAGCTTTGATTATAGTCATAAACATAAAGAAAACAAGTGCCATCCCCCTTCTCTCCATCAACCGATGCTACTCAATTCCAGTTCTAAAATCAGAACAAGAATAGGTTCGAATCGAAATTGATGCATGTCTTGTTTTCAATAATAACAACAACAACAAAAACACATACTGATGTATTTGACAACTTCGTTATACATATAAATGCTTTAGTTTCAATTTTTTTTGTCTTATGGGATAATCTGTTAAATATTATTATAATTACCAATCTTCGATCTTTTTGTCGTAATCAATGTACGAATATTCTACTTGAGAGTGTAAGGATAAAAACATGGGATGTACCACACCATTGTCATGCCCTCGCTTTCATCCTGTCCTCAAATTCTATTTTTGATGGACATCTCACATCCATGTGTTTGATTATGAATAGTCATTGGAACTGATAGTTCTTTTTCAAGGTTCTACTGTTTTTTCTTTTATTATTGTCAATATTTTTATGAATAACAATACATCGATGAACAAACTGTAATTGTTGCACATTCATTATGATTAATGCTTTCAAATATTGATGATTGTAAGAGTTAAGAATCTCTTGTTATCTATTCATAACCTTGACATAATCACTATTTCGTACTAACAAATAAATTTTTTCAATCGATTCGCGTTCTATGTAACTGTTACAGTCTACTAAATTGTTGAATCCGCGTATATCATAATCATTATGTTCTATTCAATATAAACATTATCAATAAGCTTAAATTTGTAGTATCTGTATACAAAGTGTCAAAAAAAAACGATGTGGAACATAGATGGGATTAGTTTGTCTTTTTTTGAAACCGAACCGATTCCGTCTCTAGTAGGCTCAATTCTAGCCTAGCTTAGTGGCTCTGCTGCCTATGACAACGAAGTAATTATTGTTCCTGACATAACATTGATGATAGAATTTCATAGATCAATAAACAGCTAAAGAACTCTTTATAAGGTAATGGATAGCTTTCAAGTTTATTTAAGTTGAAAGTCTAGCATAACAAGGATGAAACAATAAAAAGAGCAAACAGAACAACAGTGAAAGAGACCAGAATAAAAAAAAAAGAAAAGATAATTATCATTATCTTTTCTCTTTCTTCTAAATTCTCAAAAGCTTTCATCCGTAATATAAAAGAAAGCGAAATACATAACAATAGCAATAACAATAATAACAACAGCAACAAGAATAATATCACTTTATCCAAAAAACAAAAACTGTTTTGAATAGTTATAACAAACAAAGACAAAAAAAAGAGACCTAGAAATGCACTAAGAATGTGCAATATAAAAAAAAACAAAGAAAACAAAGCAAAACAAATTTTTAATGTATTCCTACTTTTCCACCACGTCGTGCTCCACGACTAGGAGCTCCTCCATCATAAAATGATGTTGATGATGAATGTTCATAATATGATGCTGGATAACCAGTTGATTGATAATTTGTTGGAGAAGCAGCTGTTGGATATGTTGGACGAAACGTATGCGGAAATGGACGACGTTTTTTTGCTTCAACATTAATTTGATGATTCTTTAAAAGATTTTCATGATCAACTACAATTGCTTTAGCCATTTCAATTGATTGACATACAACAAATGCAAAATTTGCTGCACCAATTTGAGATCCTGTATTACCAATACGAACAAGAAGAAGACGACCATATGTTCGAAATAATTCATGAATCTATATTTATATACAAAATATTTTTAAATATTATTCTTTTTTTTTTGCTCTCTTTACTTCTTCTTCTGTAATTTGAGTTGAAAGATTTCCAACAAATATTTCTTGATCATCTGTATAACCAGTATGTAAATAACTTTCTTCACCAGTTCCATAATACCATGAATCATCATAATACTCATTGATACCTTGAGGATGACTATGTGTTGCTCGTACATTTCGACCAGCTGATTTTGATGATTTTTGTTTACCAGATTTTGATGTTTTTGTTCCAGTTGCAATTGGTTTTGTTTCATGTTCATTTGTTGTTTGTTTTTCTTTTTTTCCAATAGCATCTCGATAAGATTTGGATTTTGATGTTTGTTCTTTATTTTGGATTTTTCCTTGTTCATTAACAGGTGTAGCTGGAGGTGTAATACTAGATGTTGAATTTGTATTTGCTTCAGATTTATCATCGTCGTTCATTTTTGTATTATCTGAAAATTTAATATCTGTTGAAAATGATGGAGTTATTGTTGTTTGTACCATTGAAGTTGATGTTGGTTTTGCTGGAATAGTTCCAAATGATGCCACTGAAATGAATTATATTAAAAATCTGTATATTTGGAAAGATTTTTGTTTATTAGATGAATTTAATTAGTTTATCCAATTAGAACATTATAGCAAGCTCTTGAAAGATTACTGATAAAATTGATATTTTTTTTAAATAGAACTAAGAGTATAATATTAATCGTTTTATGAAGAGAACATAACCTCAGTTACAAACATCTTTGCACAAAAAGTCTGATTAATTGTCATCCACTTATAAGCTAGAATCAGAATTTTTATGCTGTTTCTCACTATAAATTCACAAGTGTTTCTCTGACTTAAAGTTAGTTTATTGAGAGCAAATGTTTGATGAAAGTCAAAACAGACATCTCTATAGAAATTTTCATGTAGTACTATCTCATGTGAAGAGTATTCGTTCGAAAAATATTTATAGTTTTTAATTCTCTTGAGTTCTAGTTTATTGTAATTCATCATTTGATAGAAAATCGAATTCTTTACAACATGATAAAGTCAAAAATATCCTCAAATTCTCATCGAGAGAAGTTATACATAATAAAAAGAAATGATATTGCTTATGAGAGAACATTCTCAAATGTTCTCTTCCTATTTCAATGATTTTTTTTCCAATAGATATTACATGATATTGTAGTGAATACACGAAGGCTCCAGGTTTTCGGGAGAATCATGTTTTGAATTTTGTTTTGAAACCACCTTGATTTGAAGGTTTCACATAGAGAAAGTTATTTGAAGAGTGTGAAAACGTTGTATCTCTGAGATATGAGCTTCTCAGAAAATTCCTGTATTATAGATATACTAAAAATTTATTAGCTCGACTAAGTCTCAATAGGACCTCAAATCTTGTTAGTGCTTTCAAATAGAATACTATGTGGTATCTATTGAAACAAACCATTGAAATCAGAATGGAGCATTTGAGGAGGCTCGTTTGTTTGTGCGAACAATATTTTTAATTTATTCAAATATTTGCTCACAATTAACTAACCGTAAGTCAGAAAAAAATGGCGAATATACATTTAGAAAGAGCATCAAATTCTGATTTTAATTGAGTGCTTTTGACCCTCTTCAATACTATATAAGTGTCTGAAAAGTGAGCAAACATATTTATCAACGCTTTTTACTTTGACATTTTATACAAACGTCGGTTTTTGTCATCATCAAAAATTGGTTCTCAATAAAATAACTTTAATCCAGAAAAAATTGTAAGTACATAGTTAGAGAGAATATGAAATTCTAATTTGAGCCGACTACTTTTCAATCTCTTCAATGACTTATAAGTGGACGAAAATTGACCAGACCCGTTGAGCGAAGACAGTTGCAACAAAAGTTCATATGAGATTATTTGACATGCATATCAAAGGTGTAATTAGAAAATTCAATTTTGTAGTGTCTGAGAATCGAAAAATCTTTTTCGAGTATTATAAATCAAACATAACCTTAGAATCACTTTTGTCTCATGAAATTTTGCATCTTACAGACAATCATATAAATGATCACTTATTGATCTGTACTATGATCACACAGATCAGAGTTATTCATGGAATTATCCATAAAATTCTGTAAGATTGTTTCACACTACTTGACTGTTCGAATTTCGAATCAATAAAACCTGGTAGAATCAATTGTGTCTTATCAATAAACACATTTCTACTCTTTGTGAAACAAGATTTGAAAGGAGTGTTAAAGTATAAGAATAAAAATTTGAATCTACCTCTAGAGCCCGTTAGATCCGAAATTTTCGGATCCGCACCCGACTAACAGAAAAATTTCAGACCCAAACCCATTGGGGGTCGAGACCAAGCCGACTGGCTCTACCCACCTCTCCCTTCTTCCATACATCGCGATACATGTTATTAATATACAATCAAAGACCATATATCAATAATGTCTAGACCTAATATGTGAACTACTTATCGAATTTCTGAACGAGTAGGTAAAAGGATAATGAAGAAATGTGTACCGAAATAAATAGAATAAAGCAATCGCCTATGATTAGCAACAGCTACTACATCGTGTTTCATAGTTTAATTCTTCAGGAATTATACGGACAGCTTTTATGACTAATATGGAAAATTACCTTCATTATTATCTGTTGTTGTTGTTGTTGTTGATATTTCTGTATTATTATTATCTGTTGTTGAAGACCATATAGCATCATCTTGATATCTGAATATATCATTGTGTACATAATATTTTTGTTTAGCATTAACTGTTGGTACAAGAACAAATGTTTGAACAAAACGTTTCATAATTGGTGTTTGATTATCTACTATTGATGACGAAGATATTTTTCCACAAACTTGTACAACAACTGATGAACCAACAGTTGAATGACAATCAACTTGATGAATTTTAACGTGACGTTGTTTTAATGATAATTCTTCAATACGTTTCGCTATATTTTCAATTCCAGTAACAGTTTTATTTGGATCATCATGCATAAATGTTGATGATGATGAATAAAAACGATATAAAGATTCAGGATGTTCATGAAGAAGACGATAATATTGAACAACAAATGCTTTACCAATTTGTTGTGGTGATACATCATTTGAATTGTTTGTTGTTGTTATTGATGGCGGTGATGATGATGCCATTTTTACCATTATATAATCAATAATATAATAGAATAAATAATTATGTTGGATAAATTATCGAGAAAAACATTTAGAATATCTAAAAATAAAAAATGAGCAAATTCATTTAAGTTGAGATTTATCTTGTTGAACAACTTTTGTTTTTTTCTTTTATTTCGAAAGTAACATTAAAGATGGTAATATTTATATGATATAGTTAAATTAATCATTTTACCAAAGAGTATATTCGTTAGACTTGAAATAAAACAAAAAAAGTACCAAAGAAAAATTGATGAAAATTTATTTCTTTATTTTCATAGATATTTCGTGTTGATATTGGTGTATGTTTATTTTCATAAACAAGTATCGTCTTTTCAAAAGAATATACAGGGTGGTTCAAAAGTCAGTCCTTGTTTTCGAAATAAATTTTGATAGAAATAAGATAATGAGCTAGAACTTTGACCATTTGAAAGAGACTGTGTCACTACATGATTCCATGTATGATTCAACAATGTCGACTTATGACTAAATTGTCAGTCAGTGAACTTCAAAAAAATACTGGTAGTTCTATGAAAATAACACCGAAATGCACTGAATTCACGTGCTCACGATCCACATCCAACTGCGAAATGGTTATCATGATCGATTTATGAGTTATAGGTGCAACACTAGACAGTGTGTGTGGTTCATGAGCATACAAATCTAATGCAATTCTTAGAATTAAACTTCTGTGTCATCTTACATCTACTAGTATTTTTTCAGAAGCTCACTTATTGACTATTCGATCATCAATCGACTTTATTGAATCATACATAGAACCATGCAATGACACGGCCTCTTTCTTAAGGTCAAGGTTGCAGTTCTTTATCTTATTCTTATCGAAAAGTTATTCTCAAACACAGACTGTCGGGTGACTTTTGGACTATCTTATAGAATATTTTATTAAATAAAATAAAAATCTTCATTATAAAATCGAAAATATTTTTCATTTCTTTTTATACAATATAATGATATTCATGTGTAAAATATTTATAAGGTTCTTTAAGACAAACATTATTTGCAGACATAGGTAGTGGATTTGTTCTATAATATTCACAAAGATGAACCATATCGACAAAACTTTTTAAACCTTTGTGTACTAAACTATATTCATTTTTCTATGAAGAAAATAATAATTATTATTATTATTATTTAAAATTAAAACAAATGATTTACTCGTATCGGCAATTGATATATTGCAAAACATCGAATGTCATTTAATTTATAATACAAACATAATGTCTAGAAGATATATAATCAATGTTTAGTTGAAAATTATTTTTCTAATCAATATTAAATATATCAGAATTTTAACTCTTTGAAGTCCAGTATACAAAATTCTGTACGTTACTTTTTTCGAGGTTCTTATTTTTTTGCATAACTCACAAACGATAGAGAGATATCGGAAAACGACGATGCAGATTTTGTCGGCTAATCTCAAATATGTTATTGATTTTGCTTATATATATATATATATGGAAAATAAAAAAGATGCAATTTCTCACAACATTTTAATTATTAGATTTTTGCATGATTACGACAGACATTAACTATAGAAGATAAGGTAGAATGAACAATCCTTGGTATCTCATCATTATCTTTGTATGTATGTTTCAATAGTGGGTATTCATTTCCAATGAATTTCTCACGTCATATTCTAGTTCTTCCTCATATTTTATGTAAATTATGAAACGACATTTTAGAATATCTGGTGCAATTTTGAAGTGATAATAATATTCTTCCGCTAAGTATTGAATTTTTTTTAGCAGAGAATCTCAAACTTCAAAAGTAACGCTCGATCGTAAAATAGCTATATTTAAGAAACTATTAAGAGCTAATACTTCAATTTCATATTGTAGATAGAGGAGAATCAGAGCTATATTTCGATAAAAAGAAAAAATCTTCGTATGTGTTGAATCACAAGTTATTGGCTTTTTATAATGAAGAAAATGAAACATTTATTTCTCACAAACAATCTAAGGAAAGAGGACTAAACTTCTTGGAGGATCAGTATTTGCTGTTAGCAATGATCACACAAATTTAAAAATTTCTAGCTATTATAGTGGAGCAATGATATTCAAAGGATTCAAAATGTACAAAATATGACTTACAAAGAAACTATCTTAGCTAGATATCGATAAGATGGTACTGGTCCCGGTCTCGGTAGGATTGAGACCAACACTTTCTCATTGAGAATGATATGTTTTATAGTCATGTAAGACTTGTATCATATGTCCTATTCTCACTACTGGTGTGTTCTATAAGTTTATGCGAAAATTATTGAGTAATGATCACTTCAATATTTGCTGTTACAATTTTGATAATAAAATAAATCCCTTTTTTTCTGTAAATAACAGAATTGTCGAACATGTCAAAGTGCGGAATAGATGAAGTATTAGTGAATTGAAAAAAGTAATGAATTTCCAAGAGAAACGATATTGGAAATCATGTGGGTCGCGCAAGATGTCTGAAGTGCATTCACACTGTTAGATAATGATATCACATTTTTCACTAATACATGCATTATTAAGCACGAAACTAAAACCAGCGATTTCTGACTGCGATTGGAACTAAAAACGATTGGTCCTGTTCATCACTAATTTCAGATGATAAATCGTTATTTTTCAAACAGACCTTACTGAATCATAGGTTATCAACTATGCTAATTTCAAGTATGAACATGAGAAATATTCTTAAGCATTCATAAACCAGTCCTCCATGCTAACAAAATTTTCGTCAAAAATTTGTTTTTTTTTATCGATGTATCTACGTTATAGAGCATATCAAATCATCTAGAACGAAATAAGTTTTTCTGTTCCAAACAGTTTGTGAATCGTATCTAGAACTGTGAACACTCGTCTATAATCGTTGCTATAGAGAAAAAATGCGAAATTTAGTGGATAGTCTTTTGTCACGTTTTCACACAAACATAAGTTCCAAAACAAATGTGATAACCTTATTTTTATTATAGATTAAAATCTTTTCACACATTAATTTTTTCTATTAAAGATAGATTATTAATCAACAGTATATGAGAAAATTGTAATTTTTTAGTATAAATGCTATGAAAAAATGAAAATAGACGTAAACAGTTTCTGCGTAGCGCATTTGATAAAACATTGTGCTTATGTTATACAACAAAAGTTTCCCAGCGCTTCACTGAGTATAAAACAAGACACACCATGTAAAGTTCAAGTTCTGCATAATTCAATGATTAAATTAGTTTTATTCGATGAAAATGCTCGAATCATTTTTGCAGCTCTGTATAGGAAGTGAATAGCCAAGAACAGCTCACAATGCATCCAGATTTGTTCATCTAATTCGTCTGAGTTAAATTATACCTCAAGAGAATATTTTTGAATCCGTTCAACTAAAAATATCTGCAGAAAAAGCGCCAGTGTACATTTTGCAGCATAATTTGAGCCTATTTAGAACAGTAGAAGCGAGAGAATTGAAATTGTTATCGCTAATATAACGTTCTGAGCTTTATTCAGTTGAAAAGTTTCAATGAAATCAAAACTACCGTTCGTGAGTTATAAACTAAACAAGTTTTGAAATGACATTACATTGTGAGTGAACTCATGTCGCACGCTTGTTCGTACTACTGCTGACATAGCGACGATTTATCGGCGGTCGCGCTTATGACTTTCGATTACAGCTGTAAACGATTGCAGAGAGTATTTTTCTACCCTAACTCAAATTATGTATTAGAAAAAATTCAAATTAATCGTGAAGAAAACAGTTTCAGAATAAATTTTACTAATAAAAATTTATCTTATAAATTGAACCAGCTCGGGCTCTGCGACTAGTGCAGACACATCACTCTCATCAGAGTGCATCGAAATCGTCTCAATTCTGTCAGTTTGACAGACTTCAAAAACGTTCATCCGTTTTGATACAGTACACCATAATACAACACTTTCAAAAAAACGACAGTAATTATCACATAAAAATAAACTATTTTTTGTTAACTTCAATTCCTTTTCTCTAATATAGAATTAAGAAAAGGTAAACACTTTTATATGAAAAAGTTCTCTATTATTTGGTATATTTATTGTCTATTCAAGTCTCTTCTAGCATGCAAGAGCGATGATTTTATGTCACTGTACATAGAAAAAGAAAAACTGTCTGTTATCGAATGCCGAGAACAGAAGTATACGAATGGAAAAGATGTATAGATCAGTGAACCACATGTTTCGATAGAGTCCTATCCAAGCTACAAAATGGTCCAATTACATTTCCATTCTATTTCTTTTTTTTCTCAGACAAGCATCTCCTTTTACATACGTCTCGCTTAAAAATGCCATTTTCTCTAATTGTCAACGACATAGCATAGAAACCTAAGATTTAGTTCGGGTGTGACGAAATGCGAGAAGAATAGAATTTAAAAAATCGATTTTAAAATCGTTCGTTCGGAATGAAAGTTATAGCATAGATACTCGAAACCAATAATGGTACAAAAAAGTTGCACTTCACACATCTATTTAAATTATGAAAACTTTTTTTTAGTGACAGATTTTTTAAAAAAAGTTTCTTTTGAATGCTTACATAATCATGATCACTGGAACTTGATTTTTTTGATTGAGGTCGAATAAGAAAAGTACCATATTCGTGAGTTCTAGTTAGAATACTTGTAAAAAAAAATAATAGCAAATTTTTAAATTAAAAAACTTTTCTTTTCTCTATTATTTACCTTTGATAATCATCATGTTCATTTCGATAGAAAATATCATTCCATACAAGTCTCTAATGTTTATTTATATTTTAAGAAAATATCATTTTATTTTTTTTTTACCTTTTCTTGAAAAAGTTTTGAATTATCGTTTGATTGTAATTGAATATAAGATAAATAATGTTCTTCATTTTTACTAATAGAAGATTGAATATGTTCAATTGGTTCAACTTTTGAAGATAAAAATTCAGAATCAGACTGAGTTATTGAACAGCTCAGATATTGTTCTAAATTTCATATAATTCAATATAACAACAAAACATCCATACAAAAAAAAACACATACGATGGTTATAAAGAACATTTCTTTTTGTGTAATCTTGACAAGAACTAAAATAATTTGTTTTTTTTTCCATTTTTGATAAACATTATCCTTATTATTTGACTTACGAATCTATAAAGTATAATGTCTATTTTTTTTTATATATGAAAACAAAAAAATCAACCTACCACGATCGACTGTTGGATTAGAAGGTCCGGCATCTTTGAAAAGAAAATATTTAAATAAGATTTTAATCAAATGACATAAGATAAATTTAGCAATACAATGAGAAATCAAATGGAGCAAAAAGAAAAAGAGAATTTCTTCCTTTTTTTCTAATAATCGAATTCAAACAACTCATTATTTCATTACCATTTTCACTAGATATTGGTAATAAACTGACAAAATAATAGAATAGAATAAAGAAACAAAAAAAATTCATTAAATTTACTATAAAGAATCTGCTGATAATATTTCTGATTTAGATTTTGAAAAAAACATTCTTTAATGTTTGTATCCATGTCTACAACAAATTCTAGGAAACAAAATAAAACTTCTTTTTAAATTTACTTTTTGTTGAAAACTATCTTTTGCACCAAATATTTCAGTTTTATCTTCGTTATTAATAAATTTCAATTCAAATAAAAAATATTTCGATGTTGATTCTATAATTCTATTACATTGATCATGAATTCTAATATAAATAAAAATAATTCATTGAATAAAAAAAAAAAGTTTTTTGTTTTATCGTTACTGTGTTGTTTGATCTATTTCAAAAAAATATGATGGAGATTTATTTTCATTAGAATATAAATATAGTCCAATTTTATACTCGAAATTTTCAATTGGTATTCGAGTTAATACAACAAGATAAGTTTCAACTAAAATAAAAAATTTTTATTTGTTTAAAAAAAAAAAGACAATAAAAAAAACATACATTGTGAATCACCAAAAATTTTCGTATTATATAAATACTTTAAATAACTTTGATGAATAATCCATTCTGATTGAATATTTTCATATTTATATGATGTATATTCAATCGGAGATTTTGACTTACGAAAAATTTTTCGAAAATTTAATTTCCACAATCTCATTTTATTTTTATCACCTGAATTAAACTAGTTTTTTTATTTGTTTGATACATATTTTTATTCTTATACTCATTGAAATTGAATAACACTATGTTATCTAAAAAAATCAAATAAATATTATCATAGGATGTGCAAAAATTTAAAAGAAACACATTATCTTTCTTTTTCCAATCCCAGTCTAGAGAAAACTATTCGAGAATTTATTCTTATCACATCTAAAAAAAAAAAGTTTTTCAATACTCGTTTCTTTTGATTAATCAGATCGATGACTAATACTTTTTTGGATCATCTTTCTAGAATTAAGTTCTGATTAATATGAGTTATAAGATAATGCGCTAAAAACCATAGAATACTTGACTATAATCTTTAGTTTCGATTATTTTTCGAACATTTTAAGAATGTCTTTAGAGGAAGAGAAAACCATAAAGAAGTAAATGTACTTTTCGATACTCCATCATCTTATTCACAGAAGAACAACAATACTATCATGTACTCAAATCTCAAAGAATGTTAGAAAAGTATTGAGACTATCGCCAATGTACTTATCCTCTAGAAAAAAACCAAGCATCTATTAAACATTAAATAAATTAAGTATGATTTCATGAATAAAAACAATTGAGCTATACAAGAGGATATCGTTATGAAGTTCTGAGCCAAATAAATAAACTAAAAGAATAATTAGGATTATTCAGAAACAATTTCTCTTTTAAAAAAAAAAAAAGTTTATTTTCATTTGGAAAAAATCACTTCTTTAAATATTTCACACCACCTTAATAACGAATTAGAATAAAAGAAAAACTGCTGTCAAAATTACAAATTAATTGCTATTACAACATTACGTAATTTCGTTTATTCTCTTGCTTTTTACAGATATATTTGGGTGAAAGCACAAAAAAAAAATTATATTCTAGAACCAGCCATTCTTCATCTAAAATGATTTATAGTTCAAATATACTTCATTATTTCTTAATAGTATTACTACAATTAATTTACCTTCATTTAATTAAAATATAAAGAATAGAAAAAAAAAATAACGAGACAAATCTTTTTTTTTCAATGTCTTTTAAATTTATAATTTGTTCTAATGATATGCATAATAAGTATATGGCCGTTCAAGATAAATATTTTCAACAGTTTCTTTTATTGAATTGACTCGTAATGTTGAACGTGGTAATTCATGATTTGTATAATATTGACAAAGATCAGGAATTGTAAAAAAACATGGTTGACTATTATTAGTTACTAAACTATATTTACCATTCTAAATATTTGAAAATAAGTCTATTTTATATTTTAAAAAAAATTTTTTTGAGAAATTACCGATAAAATTAAAATTTTATATTTAATTATTTCTCCATATGCATAAATACTTAATGTCTGAAAAACAAAAAAATCTTTTTTTTTGTTTTTTCGCATTTAATTTTAAAGATATATGACATACATGATCATGATGATTTGAATTACTTTTTATGGAATGAGGTCGAACAAGAAAAGCTCCAATTTGACAAATTGTATTCAGAATACTTGATTGATTTTTTTTGTTTAAGAAAAAATATTAAATGAAAAAATAAATTTTTTATTTTGAAAAGATATTTACTTGGCATGATCATTGCGTTCATTTGCATAAAAAATATCAGCCCATGTAAATGACTAAATAAAAAAATAAAAATAAAAATTTTTTGATAAAATTTTTCTTTTACTTTATCTTCTAATGATGTTGAATTATCTTTTTCTGTCTCTATTTCAAGATTTGACTGAGATTTAGTATTTGTTTCATAATATCCTTTAATAAAACATTGGGAACTTTTTGTTACTGAAAGATAAATATTATCTGCCGTTGGAGAACTCGCAGAACGATGGCATCGTTGAATTTCTCTTTGATTATTTTCATTTAATTTCAAATATCTTTCGTCTGGTATTGGAAGTGGAGGACGATGACGTAAAATAGACGTACTATTTGATTCAGACAAACTTGAATGTCGTTCTAAATTCAAATAAAATATATTTTTGTAGAGAAAATGGCGTAACATGTATATGTATATATGAAATGAGACTATGATTCATAGATGAAATCGATTTATTAGTTCGATTGACTTGACTAGTAGATTGCTAATTAATTCGTCGACCGAAAAATCATTGTCACGGAGAATTTATACTTCTTTGTAGATTGTGTGGTAGATTTTAATCATGTCCGAGATTAAAGAACATGATTTATAGGAATGAATATTCAACGTACGGTATAACTTGGTACTAGAGTTGAGCATAGGATAGAATGATCCTGTTCTCAAGGGGAAAGGGCAAAAATTCCGTACTTCAAAGCTATTTCAAGTCTACTATCAACGTATATCACGAACATATTAGTTTGAGCTCATCTTTAAATAAATCTCCTTGGCAATAAAGCTCAAATACTTCGTCAGACTTTATTAGTAAAGCATGGAATTTTCGCTTTTTCCCCGCGTGCTTGTCCTAAGAGACAGGAAGGCACTAAATTTTTTTTTTCTGTCCTATCCCTCAACAGAACAAGCAAGAGACAAGGTGCATATAATCGTTCTATGTTCTTATTTATTTCACTGAGAGTCAACTGAAGCGATACAGTATCAAATGAATCAACTGTTGATTAAAAGTTTACGACTGGCTTAGACAATTAAATCAAATAAGACATCTTCGACATTGAAACGAATGCAAAGAAGAATTCGGAAAATGATAATAATGATTACGAGTTAATCGTAACAAAAATATACTATGTAGTTATATACGGAAAGATAAATAGAAATGTTATCTGTTCTATCTCATAAACCTATACACTCTTCAAATGTTATCTATTTGAATTACATATTGAATATTTAAGGAAATAAATTGTTAGATTTTCCTTTATTTAATGCATTACCTTCTTGTGTATGATATTCATTATTGATTATCCGTTGAGTTGAACTGAATTTAATTTATTTGAATTAATTATTGAACAAATATATTTAACTTACTCTGTAATTAAAAAATTAATTTAAAAAAGACAAATAAATATAGATTTAATTTACTTGGAATAAATGGTTCATAAATAGAAGTTACATCGCCATTAATATGGTCTACAAAAAAAAACCAAGAAAACATAGTACAACAAAGAAAAATAACTTTTGTTCAGTCTAATCAATAAAATTGAAAAACCAAAAAAAAAATGAGCAGAGCGAATCGTTTTTTTTTTCTGTTCAATTTCTTATCTAAAGTACCTATTTTATGTGAACCTTCTTTCCAACTTTGTTTTAGATCTGGACGAACCATGAGTAAACTGACCGAACATAAATGTTTAAAAAAAATTTTCTTGCCTTTTTTTACTTACTCATTCGAAATAAAATTGTGATTTGTCCGATTTAATATTTGATGAATATGTTTAATCCATTTCTAAATTAGGAAAAATTAAATAAAAATCAAATGAAAAATTTGTTTTTTCTTACGTCTCGTTCATCAGAATTATTAGCACCAAAAACTTCAATATCACTTTTATCTTTTCCAATTAATTCGAATAAAACATATTTAGATTCTATTGGTTTTGAACATTGATCAGATATTCTATTTGAAAAAGAAAATTATTTAACTTCACACCAATTATAATAAATAATCTTTTCATGAAATTCAATTATTCATATCAATTTTAGTATATTTTATTCAATGTGCTAGGAAAAAAAACTATTCTGAATACAATACAAGATGTTGCAAAAGAGAAAAACATCTACGTCAGTCTAATCATCAGCCATAGATAAGACTGTATTACATCTTTATCTGTTTTGCTGACAAAACAAATGAGTTGTTTATAATAACTGTTCTTTTGAAAACAATAAATAATATCTTGATGGATAGGCTGCTCGTGATCAAAAAGAAAAAAAAAATTTCTACTTTTGTTTTTTTTAATCTATCTTCAACGAATATTTATCTGTTAATTGATCTTGCTTATAATACGAAAAGCTCTATCGGTATTTCTTTTATCGCTCTTGGTCTTACAAAAACTTTTCTATGATTTTTCTTTGCGAAATTTTAAAAAAGTTTTTAATGTTCTCTGCTTGATTTCAAATACTCTATTTTCTTTTCATTGATATAATGTATAATGAAACTAGCTCAAAAATATTAGTAATTTAATAATTTTTTTTATTTCCAACATTCCTGATTTTGTAAATAACTTATGTATAAAAAAGTGTGTATATAGTATGTCTGTTCCATTTTTCGTCCACTTATAAGTCATTAGAGAGATCGAGAATGTTATGCTTTTGTTAAACATATATTCATAATTCTTTTCTAGCGTAAAGACAGAATGTGGATGTCTTGTTCTCCACCCGACCACAACCTCAAGATTTATGTTGGATTCCCATCGAATTTTGTCGGGCGATCGAATCTCTCACACAGACTTACAGAATCTATTTGTATATGTCAACGCAGAAATGTTTCAAGTTTGGAGAAGCTTTGATAAATTATTTAACTGTAAGGAAATTTTTTCATGTGGAAATTCGAATAAAGAAATATATTTCTTGTAACAATAAGAACATAAGGTTTGTGCATAACTTCTATGATTTATGTATTAATAGAAAGTATCGTAACAACTCGTTCGTTTATTTAATTATATAATTCGTTACTTTTTTTGGAATGAAAACTACTTTTATTAATTGATCGGTTTTTTTTATGTTAAATAAATCGATTTCTGTTTCGTTTCCTTCGAATATGCAACCGAAACAGAGAATCCAGCTTTTCCTCTGTTCTGAGAGTAGGGAAATTTTTCGTTTTAGCGGTAAATTCTGCACAGCTAGCTGCACGAGCTCCGCATATGTTAGTACATGATCCCATACGATACAATTATCAACATTAAAATTTGTTCTCTTTGTATCTGTATATTTTTTAATAAGTTCGTTTTTATTTAAAAAAAATAATCAATAGATATTCGATATTCTAAAATTTTACATTGGATATTTCTGTCAAGTTTGTTGTTTCGTGACTTATACAATAAAATTAAAATAAGAGTGTGGGTTTTAAATAAAATTTTTAAATGAATCAGTTAGAGAAAAATAGAAACACATAATTTCTAGATTTTTTTTTCTTATTGAAACAGATTCTAATATTAATTCTCTTCTACTATGCTCTTGACACGTTATTAATGTTAAATATAAATGAAAAATTATTTATCATTTCTTTTGTTTGGTCGATATAACCAAATCAACATTTTTTCTGGACGTTTGAGACTTAGTCATGGACAAATCTAAGTCATACAAGACGGTAAGCCAAATCATTCGTTAGGGACGTGACAACGCAAAATTAAAACATATGTATCTCGAAATAATGAAATATTCTAGAACTGATTTTTAAATGTTACATATATGTTATGCTACTCAAGATACTCTGAAAAAATCAGCACTAAAAATCTTTGTTCAGAGAACTTATCAGTGAAAAAACTAGCGTTAGCGACGTGGCGGAGTACGAATATACAGACGAAAAGGTTGTGAGAAAAATTCTTATTTCGAAACTTGATAGAATCTCTAGAAAATCGATTTTTAAGAAGAAGTTTTTTGGAGTCCAATCTAACTGATGATTTCACCATAGATGCGGTTCGTGTCATAGAGTTTATTTTGAAGTTGTCGAATCTTTTTTCTCGTATGATCAGAGAGATATTCGCTAATTACTTTTTAATTAAAAGAATTCATTCAGAAAAAGAACCTTTATGAAGAATCAAAGTCAAATGAAAGGTTATTACATCCTATTTTGCCTGAAATGATCCATGTATGCATTTATCAGCTCACATATGAATGGTCGCTTTAAGATGAAATCATGCATCCCTATATAAGGAAAATATCAGCTGTTAATTATCGTTTTCCACATATTTATATTTCCCGAATGCTGTCGAAATTTGAAGAACAGATTTTAGACGTGCACTTGTTACATTCCCACGATCTCAGTATGTTTTTTCCCAATTTGAAATGACGCTCAGGTGTCGAGAACGAATGTTTGACTGAAATCATGACTCATGCGTCGAGTGAAGAAAGTTATTGTACTTCACGTGTACTTTATTCCTTCTCCAAATTACTGAAGTTGCCCTTTTCTCCCTCAGGTAGAGAATGCTTTTAACGAGTTCATGAAAGTGAAAATTACAACTTTTTTACAAGATCGTTTAAAAATACACTCACAAGCAACGAGTTCATGGTCGTCGAACAAGATGTTTTTGACAAGTTTATATAAAAATTGAAAAATTATTACAGCAATATTTCTTTTTTTTTTCTCGTTTCATTTCATTTAGGAATATGTTACAATAAACTGTTCGAAAGAAGAGGCATGTTTCTATCGACTGATACTTACAAAAATGTTCATTTCAACATGTGTTTAACGAAGAAATATAGAAATTAATACTTGCATCGTTTTCGTGAATCTCACGAAAAGTATAGACTTTTTTATAAAGATATCCTCTCTCTTTTCTGTTGCATCATTTCGTTTACGAACGTACTATCAAAATAAATTATATACTATTCAAAACAGATGAAAAAGTTTTTTTCTTTGAGAACAATAAGGGGGAGACTCAGATGGTGGACTCTATTCGGCGAAGGAGCTTCAATCGGTGAGAAGCTCAGCTTCTCCCTCCAATTATTTACGTCACTATTCTTTAATGACCTGTAAGTGGGCAAATATTGAATAAACATGTTACGTAAAGACTATTTGCACACATGTTATCATGTCTACATTCATATCTTCTTTATCTAAAGTTAAGAAATGTAATAAACATTTTCCAGGTTTCGTGAAAATGCAATCTCTAGTCAATCAATTAATTATATATTGTGAATTATAATTTAACAAACGAGATATTTTAATATTATTATTCATCTTCGTGATATATTCCTCTCTGCCATCAAAAACAAAAATACGTGTAGATCTGTTGATTAACAAAATCTTGATCGAATTGTTCTTTCGAACTATTTACCTTTCATATTCATCTAATTGAAAAAATTTTAATGGTTTTTGTTTTTGATTTCCATATAAATACATGACAAAAATTGGTTTATCATCTTCAATTGGAATTTTTGCTAAAACAACATAATAATTTGCAACTAGAAAGATGAAAAAAAAATGTTTTCTAATAAACTGGTTTTTTTTGTTAAAATAATAAATCTTATTTTTTTAATACATCGTGAAAGATTTAATAATTTAATTTGATCATAACGATAATGTAAATATCCTTCGCAAATAATCCATTTTTTTTGTATATCCAAATATTTGTATGAAGTATAATCAATCATTGAATTGGCATGGTTTTTTGTAGTTAAATTTTTTTTTAATGCTTTGCTTTTTGAAACTGAATAAATACAATAAAATAATTTATAAAATCAATTATTTTGTTTTTAATCATACTCATGATTTTTTTTTATCTAAAAAAAAGTTAAAATATTTTTCTTGTTTATTGAATTAAATATTACAAAAGAACAAAAAGATGAGATTTTCTTTTTTTTTTTTAATATTAAAATCCTCCACGTAAAGCTAAAACTAAATGAAGAACACTGCCAGCAGTAACATTATATTCATTGACAGTTTTATCATCCAACATTTGTTTACCACCGAATATGAGACGTTGTTGAGGTGGAGGAATTCCTATTTAACAAGAAAATCAAAATCAGTTCTCTAAACTGGAAAAACTATTTTGCTACCTTCTTTTTCTTCAACGCGTTCTTTAATTCGTTCGATTTTATCTGTTCCATCAATATCAACTTCAATCTCTTTGCCAGTTAATGTTTTCACTTTGATCATCATCTTTGATAGGTACAAACTCGAATAGTTTATCGCTTAATTTTACAAGATAATATAACTATTGGATTACTTATGGTATTTTATGGAATATGAGTCAGATGATTCCATTTTTTTTTCTCTTGAAAATTGAATCTAATTTTTTTTGTAAAAAGAAAATTCTTTTTTTTTGTTAATTATATTTATTTAAAAAAATTTCTAAATAAATGATTAGTTGAAAACAATACGATGCAGATGTCATTTTTAGTCATCTTGTGAACAAGTGTGAAAAGATCTGAGCAAACTGTTTGTGATCATTGGTCGGTATAAGAAAAAAAAATTTCTTAGTCAAACGAATATAGAAATGTAAGATCGAAAATATGTATTGATTATCTGACAAGGTCATACGTATTTATTTGTCCTTCATATAAAAGAAATATTCTAATCATGTAAATATAAACTATCATAAGCGTAGGTTTTTTTTGTCGATCAGATAAAATAAAAATATTTTTAAGTAAACTATTGTTAAGGTTATTTGTTAATAACATTCTTTTTTCTTTATAATAGCACAGATGCAAAATTGAAAGTTCAATGTCTTGTTTTATGTTTGAATGAGGTACTTATTCATATGTCCATGAAGATCATTCATCATTGTCAATAGAAAAGAAAGAAAGCAGAACAAGTGTGAAGAATCGAGTGGTTAACTGCAATACAGTGCTTTCCATCAGCATCATCTCATCTGTCTACACCCTCTTGTGATGTAACAAAAAAAGTTGCCTCTCAATGACAAGTGATTATACATTCAGACCTAAAACATTATCGCAGAGAGTTACATATTCACATGCATGATCATTATTCATAAAAGAAAGAGATAAGCGGTTGGTTTACATTCTTTATTTGTTATTCTATTTATGTATTTTAGACAAAAAAAGAAGAATGTCGACAAATCGACTAACACCATTTAATAAACGTACTATGCCAACAAATAATAATACACATACGATACGTAAGAGTTCAATAAAATATATATATGAAAAGATATTTTCTTTCTTTTTTTTTTTAATTTCTTTATTAGCAGATATACTCGGTCATGAACAAATTGACTTAACACGTTTAAAAAAACAAGCACAATTAACTCAAACACAAATACCAAAAATTCCACGTATAACACGTACATTAAATACACTTGAAAATGTTTTGAAAGTCTTAGAAGAACATAGTCGAACATCAAAATATCAAATTGATCAACTTGTAGAATCCGTTGAAAAAGAAAATCATCAATTAGCACGTGTAAATATTTTTTATTTTTCTATAGCAGCCACAAAAACAAATATTTTTTTTTCGATTTTCTTTTTTTTAAAGCAATTACATGAATCTCAAGTTGCTTATTTAAAACTACAAGCTCATACAGCTTCATTACAAAGTTTAAAAGAATGTTATTGTCGTTATGCTCATATGCTTGATGGTGCAAGAACAATGTTTAATGCATATCAACAAACTACAACAAGACGAGATTCAATTGATCAAGTTAAACTTGGTCTCAAAGAATGCACTAAAGTTAGTTTTTATTTAGAATATTCACTTTTTCATAATCTGATTTTTTTATGGTATCTGCATAATTACTTTCGAGAGAGAGTGTCTCGTCAAGTGTAAAACTGCCTTTTGCTCGAGGTCTTTTCAATTGATGGAAGAACCACTTCACGTGTAAAATTGCTTTTTAAACTGAGATGATGTTTATTTGATGAGTGTTAGAGAATAATAGATAATTTGTTTTTCAGACTTTTATTCTCAAGATATCACAAGTTTTATTGGTTTTGTCAACAAAAAGTTGTGATCCTCTCAGATCACGTAGAAAATTAGCTTTCGACTTCAAACTTTGTACGAACAAAATTTGTAGTCAAGCGTCGGTTATCTATGTGACTTGAGAGAAGAGATATAGCTTCTCAGTGAAAACCCTAGTAAAATTTCGATATTTTGGTTGAAAAGTGATTTAACATCTAGAGGAGTTCCCTCATGAGATATCAATTTTTTTAGTGAATTTTCTAGGAACGCTATATTTTCGAATTTTGACCTAAAACTGTACTTATATCAAGAGTTCAATTAAACTTGGTTTCATTAAAAGTTTCAGAGATTTTGATATTGTCGTTTTACTTGCATATAATCGTAAAGATCTGATATGAATAAATTATAAATTTAAGTTATTTTCTTCAATATTTCTAATTGAATAATGTTCATAAACTAATTTCTTTTCTTTTTTCTTCAAAAAATCATATTACTTTGTGTACCTAAAGTATGAATAGTAGAATTATTAGGTATATTTTTTTCCACTAATAAACCATTTCTTTATCTTTTTTTTAATCATAATGAAAAATGATATGGACTAATTTCTTAGAATAATTATTGAATTTGGTTTTTGTATTTTTATTAAATTAATATACTGAGAACAAAATAATTATTTTAAATATCTTTATAATAGACATTATGTGCAATTGAAGCTCAATTAGAAGCAATGTTAGGTACATTTGTATTAAATTTACAAGAAATAAGTGGTTTTTCTCGAATATGTCCTGGAGATGAATATGAATTAATTATTCGTTATGGACAACAAAAATGGAAAACACGTGGTCGAATACCTAAACATGATAAAAATGAACAAAATTGGACTAGACAAATATTTCATTTAAAAGCTAAATTAGCTGACTTATTATTAATTAAAATTAGTGAAGTTAGATTATTAGGTGTTTCATTAAAAACAATTGGAACAAAATGTTTTGAAGTTAATAATTTTTATTCAATGGAAACACAACGTATGATTATTAATGCAAATCAAAGTGGAACAATTAAATTAATTTTTTTAGTTAATTGGGAGTAAGTTATTTTTTTTTCAATTAAATTAATAATTCTAAATAATATTATCAAAAGATAATTGACATACAGAAAAATTTTTACAATTGGAATATAAGGCTTCTTGTTATTTGATATATCAAATGATATTTTTCTTCATGATGATCTATTCCACTCTCTCTCTCTCTGTTTGAATTTATTAATGATAACGTTCGGTTTTTTTTTTTGTTAGTTAGTTTTTTCCTTCTTCAATCATTGTCATGCGTGATCGATGACAAGCAATCAACATATGTCAAATTAGAATCAGTCCGACTTTTTGAATATGGTTATCTTTAGAATGATATATTAGTAGTTTTGTGAAATATGATCTAAAAGGAGTGTTGAAGTATAAGAGTAAAAATTTGCACTCACTGCTCTCACAGACAGTGTTGATACACGATCAAAGATCATATATCAATAACACTCGTTGTTATGTACGAACTACTTTCTTGTTATATTTCTGGAAGATTGATTAAAAAGACAGTGAAGAAATGTGTCCCAAAATAGATAGAGTAAAGTAATCTCGTGGGGATCACGCTTACCAGTTTTTTTTCACAGACTCATCTGATTCATTACTTGATTGAGTTTAACAGTATCACGCATCTTACATGGATGTATGCACTGCAGTAGCTTCTATTTTATAGCGAAAACGACATCTCGATCTCATTGCCTGTACACAAGTTATTCAAAAAATAAAGAAATTTGAACAAAAAATATTCCTAATTCTGAATGCTGGTGCTTAAAGGATTAAATTTTGGAAAGTGATAAAAAGAAAATGCAATGGTTCGTTATTGATAGTTAGAAGAATATTTATATATGTGCTTTTATTTTCCATACTTGTCAATAATGACCTTTCAAATAAATGAATATCAAATTCACAACTGTTACTTCCAAGACAGATGCTTCCGCAATGTTTATTTTCCTACAATACTTTTAGTTAAGATTACGAGCATTCAATAAGTCAATTAGAAAAATGAAGAAATCAGAGATAGAGCTTGTTCTCAGTTTGTCATTATCCTCCATCATGAGTTACTTTAATATTATACGAACAACTGTTGTCGAAGAACAAACGTTATGGAAGCATGTCTCTAGAGTACAACAGTCGTGTTATGTTGAATATCTAATTATAAATTATCTTTTCTTAATAAGAAACAATCCAATCCATTTAATCAAATAGGATAAGGATATTAAATTTTGGTTTGATTAAAATAATTTTCAATTTATTTTATCATTATGAGTGACTATGAAATATAGTTTAGTAAATATAAGATAATTCGAATTGCAGAACTTCTTTGAAATACTATTGAAATATCTAATTTGATTTGAATAAAAATTCTATTATCTATTTATTTAGTCTTTATGATCAAGTTGATACAAAATTTACATTTTATAATCCAAATCGAACATATTCCGATGTAACACGAACATGGTCAATGTTTGTTGGAAATACAACATTACTTCGAACTGTAAATGATACACTTACATCTTCTTCTTCTTCTTCTCAATATTCTTCTAAACGTTTATCAACATTTTGTCCAATTAGTTCTCAAGAAACTAATGAATATGTAACATATAATTCAACAACAGATGAAAGTAATCATTATGATGAAATTGATATAGAAAATAAATATGAACAAATACCAAAAGAAGAAGTAAATTTAAATAATTTATTTATTCAAATATTTATTTATTTATTTAGATTTGTGATAATATTCACGTTCATGATGATACTCATTCTTCATCAAATTCATCATCATTTGCTGCTGGTTTAAATTCAGATGAAATTTCATCAGCAGCATCGATTGATTATTGTCAAACAGAAGCAGAAGGAGGAGGAGAAGAAGAAGAAATTGAAAATGAATCAATTTATGAACTTGTTTTACTTATTGATCAAGTTCGAACATGTTTAGATGATTTACGTCTTACTGATCGATCATTTTCAATAATATTTGATAAAATTGAACATATTATAAATGATTTAGATAAAATAATTAAAACTCAAATACATGAACAAACAGAAAAAACATTAGAAATTGAAAATATTC